GGAACTGGAACTCTGCAACACTTAATAGAAGTTTGAGCCTGGAAAAGCTACTACATCTCTATGCCTCTGGATCCCTACTTGTGCAATGGTGGTAGCAACATTACCTACCTCATTTTTCATTTTTTGCATTGTGTCCTGAAAATAAAATGTGATTATGGATGTTAAGCACAGTAACAGACAATAAGTGCTCAATATACATTAAGGTATTATTCATGTGTGTACCATAAGAGTGAACATTTTGGATTAGCATTACTGAAAAAAATAGTAAGAACTAAAAAGTTAGAAGTTGTTGGTTTGACTACCTGGATGCTGATGCTTGAAGGTTAAAAAGAGAGGACATTTAGAAGAGCAAAATATTTTATGCCAATTTTGTAGCCACTGAAATTATACCCTTATCCTTTTCAATTGATACATATGGCAGTAATCAATACAGAATTTAAAGGACAGTTAAAGCAGCTTGCAGGTATCCTATCTAATAAAGAGGGAATATGCTAATTGACCCTCATGCCATTGCAAAGATGGCAGTGCCCATAGCCAATAAGGAGGGAATATGCTAATTGACTGCCCATCCTCAAAGATGGTGGTGCCATCAGCCAATAAGGAGGGGATATGCTAATTGACTGTGATACCCTCAAAGATGGCGGCACCCACAGCCACAAGATGGCCAGCAGGGGAGAGCAGTTGGGGGCAACCAGGTTGGCAGGGGAGGGCAGTTAGGGACGACTGGGCTGGCAGGGGAGGGCAGTTGGGGGCGATCAGGCTGACAGGCAGAAGTGGTTGGGAGCCAGCAGTCCTGGATTGTGAGAGGAATGTCCGACTGATCAGGCCTAAACTGCAGTCGGATATCCCCTGAAGGGGTCCCAGATTGGAGAGGGTGCAGGCTGGGCTGAGGGACACTCCCCCCGCAGTGCACAAATTTTGTGCACCGGGCCTCTAGTGCCTTTTATAAAATAACAAGTTAAATAAGAATGAAGGCTATTCAGGGAGGGGCAAAAGTAGGTTTGCACTTGTAGGTCAAACAGTCTGTTCTTGTGTTATTATTTATTAACTTGAGGCCCGGTGCACATTCGTGCACTGGTGGGGTCTCTCGGCCTGGCCTTTAGGGATCAGGCCAAAACTGGCTCTCCAACATCCCCAAAGGAGTCCCAGATTGCGAGAAGGCAGTTCTGGGGTGATGCACCCCAGAATTGAGCTCCCTCCTCTCTGGTTCCAGGTGCATCACCTGAGAACTGCAGCTGCCAAGTCACTGCAGCTTGGCAGCTCCTGTGTTCAGCATCTGCGCCTGATGGTCACAGCTACCGGTCAGAGTGTCTTCCCCCTGGTTGTCATTGTGTGTCATATCTACTGGTCAGATGGTCAAATGGTTACACAGTTGCTTAGGTTTTTACATTTATAGACTAGAGGCCCAGTGCACAAAATTTGTGCACTCAGGGGGTCCCTCAGTCTGGCCTGTGCCCTCTCGCAGTCTGGGACCCCTCAGGGGATGTCCACCTGCTGGCTTAGGCCTGCTCCCGGGGGATCAGGTCTAAGCCGGCAGTCAGACATCCCTCTGGCAGCCCAGAAGCCCTTGGGGGATGTCCACTTGCCAGAGGTGAGCAGGCCTAAGTTGCAGTCGGACATCTTTAGTGCTGCTGAGGAGGCAAGAAAGGCTCCTGCCACCACTGCTGTGCTGGCAGCCATCATCCCTATGGGAGCGCACTGACCACCAGGGGGCAGCTCCTGCATTGAGCGTCTGCCCCCTGGTGGTCAGTGTGTGTCTAGTGACTAGTCATTCTGCTGTTAGGGTCAATTTGCATATTACCCTTTTATTATATAGGATAGAAGCCTGGTGCACAGGTGGGGGCTGGTTGGTTTTCCCTGAAGGGTGTCCCAGATCAGGGTGGGGGTCTTGCTGGGGTGGCTGGCCAGCCTGGGTGAGGGGCTGAGGGCTGTTTTCAGGCTGGCCACAGCCCCTTCAGGATGGGGGAGTCCCGCTGGGGTGCCTGGCTAGCCTGGGTGAGGGACTGATGGCTGTTTGTAGGCTGGCCACTCCCCCGCAGCAGAGACTCTTACTCCATGGGGCAATGGCCAGTCTGGGTGAGGGGCTGAGGGCTGTTTTTAGGCTGGTCACAGCCCCTTCAGGGTGGGGGGTCCCACTGGGGTGCCTGGCCAGCATGGGTGAGGGGCTGAGGGTCGTTTTCAGGCTGACCACATCCCCTTCAGGGAAGGGAGTCCCAGAGGGGGGCCTGCCCAGCCTGGGTGAGGGACTGAGGGCCGTTTTCAGCCTGCCACAGCCCCTTCACGATGGGAGGGGGGGTCCCACTGGGGTGCCTGGCCAGTCTGGATTAGGGGCTGAAGGCTGTTTTTAGGCTGGCCACAGCGCCTTGAGGGTGTGTGTGGGGGTCCTACTGGGGTGCCTGGCCAGCCTGGGTGAGGGCGGATGGCTGTTTGCAGGCTGGCCAAGCCCCTCAGTGGGGACCCTCACCCCATGGGGGTGTGGCCAGTCTGGGTGAGGGGCTGAGGGCTGTTTTCAGGCTTGCACACCCCCTTCAGGGTGGGTGTCCCTGCTAGGGGGCCTGGCCAGCCTGGGTGAGGGGCTGATGGCTGTTTGCAGGCTGGCCAAGCCCCCCAGCGACCCAAACTCCCAGCCTCTGCTTTTTTTTCTTTTTTTTTTTAAGCACCTCTGTGAGCGGATTGCCAGGCTGGCTGGAAGCAGGTATCTGGGATTTATTTTTCTTCTATAATTGAAACTTTGTAGCCCTGAACGGAGGCCACAACCGGCCAGGGCCGGCGGGAAGCTTGGCTTCCTCCATCGCTGGGGCAACCCAAGCCTCCTGCTCGCTCCAACTCCATGGCCACTGGCCACCATCTTGGTTGGGTTAATTTGTATAGTCACTCTGATTGGCTTGTGGGCATAGCAGAGGTACAGTCAATTTGCATGTTTCTCTTATTAGATAGGATTACTGTGTTATTTTCCATATGAATTGTAAATTTATTTTTCCCCTACAGGTATAATAAATGAAAACTAAGGTTTTTGTTTACTTTCTGGGTGATACTACTGTTTCCGTTTGCTCCCTTGCTAGATGGCTGAAAAGGAACATGAAACCCACTGAAGATCTTCAGTCAGTAATCCAGAAGCTGTCCAATTTTGGGCCAATTAAGTCAGTCAGCCTTTGTGGACAGCAAAGTGCCATCGTGGTGTTTGAGAACACGACTTCAGCATGCAATGCTGTGAGTGCTTTTCACAGCAGGACCCCTGGCACCATGGTGCAGTGTTCCTGGCAACAACCATTTATGTCAAAAGTTGTAAGGATCCCTTTACCAGAAACCTATGTAAGTTCTTTTTCTTTTTTTACTGCCAAAATGTTTATTGTGAAATGGTCTTAAAACAAAGGAAAGCAAAGCTTATATCCAAATGAAATGTATGACACCAACTTGGATTTCTGAATACACTGTGGACTTTGTGCCGGAATGCCAAATTCCAACTATGAAGGCTATAACTGAATACTCTTACCATGCAAAAGTAAAATTTAATCTGCCTTGCAACCATTATGCAAGATTTTGGCATAGGATTTGCTCGAAGTAACATTGCAACAGAATAACTGAGAAAAAAAAAATTGTTAAAATAGTGCAAAAGCAATATGTGCAGTGTGTTATATCTGACATTATCACATGCCAGAGAGCTCCTCACAGGCAAGAGTGCAAACTACATGTTGGGTCTGAGGAAACATAGCTAGTCCTCTGGATTTCCAGGCAGACACGCGTTTTCCTCATAGAAATGCTGCATCAAGAGCGATGAGGCTACGCTACAGTCAAGGGAACAGAACAAGTTCTTCTTTTTGGCAATGCTTAAAATCTAAACAGGAAAAGTCCTACTCAAAAGCAGCAAAAGGTACCTGGTTATAGAAAAAGTATGCTCTATCACATATGTGATATGGTGAGACTGCTAATTTTAAAAGGCTGCAATAAATCTAGTGTTTTAAGTTTTTAAAGTATCAAGGCTTAACTCAGTTTTAAAGTGATCTTTTATGAAATGCTTACCACTCTAATGAAAACTCTGACAATAAAGTTATCTACATGGTGGCACTAGAGAAGTCATTTTGGATCTCTCCCAATTCCTCCCCCCCCCCCTTCCTTGATTTGTATGGGGTCAAGTTTGAATCCCTCAGCTGGTATTGAAGTGTAACACATCTGCTGCATACTAAAAGCCACTGGCTACAAAACAGTTCCAGAGCACCCAAAACAGGCATGCTATGTGCCTCCACACTCTCCCCATTGGTTATTTACGTAAAAGATCAAATTGTAATTTTGCTAAAAAAAAACAACACAAAACAAAGATTGTTAGAAAAGAGCACTTTTAAAATAACTTGGCTGTTTTGCAGAATTGTAGACACCTCAATGGTTAAGAAAAAACAAAACTTATTGTAGCATCAGTGTAGCAGGAGAGTACATTTAGCTGTTTCACAGTTTCCTCCAGTATTCTTCTGGGGAAAGAAAATATTTCCACAAGTGGGGATTTAAAATAAATACCACAAACCTATAAAATTCAGATAATGTAGTAGTTGTAATTCTGACTTGGGTAATTCTATTTTGGGAATAAAAAGTAGATGTGGAACTCTAAAACTGCCAGGTGTAACAAGTTTCTCAATGATGGGTGTTTTAGATGAAATTCTTTAATAGGTGTGACTATCCTGGCATGCTGGATACTACCAAGTCTTGGTATTGGACACTCAATACATCCTCTGTCACCATGACAACCAAAAATATGCCCCAGCACTCCCAAATACTGTTAGGTGACAGCACTAGCCCGGTAGAGAACACTAGTATGGTGTCATCAAATTCTAAATGATCAACTGGCTCCAGCGCAATGTGGGAGCAGCAGCTGAGGTTGCCAAGGCCCAGAACATGGAGAGGGGGTGGGTGGGGGGGCACCTGGAGTTGAGAGGACTGAGGCCACACAAGGCTCCCATTCCTCCACCAGAGTCAGGAGTCGAACATCAAAACTATGTAAATTCGTAAGCTTGTTTTATATAATTTTTTATCACGGCTCTAGTGAATATAATAATCATAAATATTTCATCACTGAAAAAAAGGCACAGTGAAGTTTATTTAGTTGAAGTATTGGAAATTAGAAATCATAGCACATCCCCTCCTTCGAAATGCTTAACTTTGCTATATTAGTCATCACAGTTTTGCTTTTTTGGATAAGAAGTTCATGGTTGCATTTATGCATTCGTCTGATAGCCATCTTTCCTGGAGGACACTACTTTCTTCAGCATTAACAGCATGTAGCTTTTCTTTCTCCATGTTCCTGATGACCTGTTTTGAAATTCTCATGGACTAAAAAAAACAAAACCAACAATAAGGTTAAGAGGTATTCTAATAGCGTGGGATTATTCTAAAATTCTGATTCTTGTTTCTCCACTGTTCAATCTGATTAGACATTAAAATATTTGTGTAATATAAGACTGTGCTTCTCAAATTTCAATGTGCATACAAACCGCCTTAGATACTAAAGCTTCTGATTCCAGGATGGCAATTTGAGCAACAAAAATATCAATCAGTCACTACCTATCACATAAGAAAACAAAAATGCTACATTAAGAATCCCCTAAAAGTTAAGCTATCTTACCTAGTTTCTCACCTAGAATCAAGACTAAAAGTGTTTGGCAAATTCTGCCTATCATTCTCCTCAAAGTTATCCCCAGAAAGAACTGGCCCCTCAGCCTTCAAGTCATAGAAATGGAATGCCTATTTGATAAATTTTCTAAAAATTAGTATTGCTAACATTATAATTTTTAATCTCAAATTTAGGTGTACTTAAAGCCAACCAAGATATGTCTTATGTGTGTTTTTTTTCAATTTCTTATTTTCTTAAGGTAAATAAATTATTTCCATGGTTCATACAAGTTAAAAAAAAAAAGAATACTAACATTTGGGGGGAGCTTTGAATATGCTTTCAGCCGAGTCCAAACTTCTTTCTGAAAAGTACTATCAGGAAAAACTTCAGTAACAAGTCCTTGAGCACATGCTTCTCCTGCTGTTAACTTCTTTCCAAAAATAAGCATCTCTGTTGCCTGAAATGAAAAGCAAGACTAAGAAAATAACTTAATGAAACGAGGCTGTTAACTTGAGAATTAATTGCTTTTAATAGACATAGGGAGATTTACTTATGGTCTTTTGAGGTTGTTAGTATTTCTTAAAGGAAGAAACTGAGGACAGCAATAGGCAATAATTTGCAAACTGAGCAGTGAGGCTCTCTAGGTTTGTAGGGTTGTTGCTTCTGTGTGTTATCTGTGTTGAGGAGGAAGCTGGGGCAGAAATGACCTGAAGCAGGTGCTGACTTTATAACCCACAGAAGATATGATTTTCTGCTTTTATACACTATAAACAATTATTTTAAAAAAGAAAAAAAATCATGGTCATAGGAAATGCCAACCAACTTTTAGAATCCCTAACCTTCAAAATTCCCTTCCCTGGAAATTCTACCCAGTGGTCCAGCTCTGATGGTTTTCTTTTACCTGCACAGGTACTCAAATTAGTTCTATTTGACTGAAGGAAAGTGATAAGACTAATATTCAGTTTCAAAAAAACCTGATATCACTAAATATATATATTTCTACACTTGCAATTTCTCTTCCAGAAAAGTAAGACTATTCATACCCAAATGCTTTTAAACCTTAGGGTGATTTCTAGCCAACATTTCAAAGTTAAAACCTCAATAACAATTCAAGGTATATGACAGAATAGACTTAAAAAATATGTAACAAAACCCTAACAGCAATGAAAATAGGCTCAGTTCCTACTCTCCCTTTCAGGCCTTGAAGAATATTTGCTAAGCCTTTCCCTATCCCTGTCTCTCTGGTCTTGTCATGAACCCTTTGGAGCTATGTACACAGAGCGTGACAATTATGCTTTCATAGACCCAGTGATAAACCTGAGCAGCCACCTAGCCACTCCAGGAACCTTCATACCCTGCTAAAACCAGCTGATGAAAAGGCTCCGTGACAAAGTGGGAAACCCAGTGGGGCCTCACATCTGCTGGTACTTCCCATGATTCTGAAAGTAAAGATGTCACTGTATCACTTTCAGTGGATGATGCTCATCCATGAGGAAATTAGGAGAGGAATCAGCCTCGCAGACCAAGGGAGGCAGGCACAGCTCCAGTCCTTCCCCTGAAGAATGCTGCGCAGCTGTGGAGGAGGAGGCCTGTGCCACTTGTGGTGCAGCTGGCACTCGGCAGCCAGTGGGAAGACCAGTTCCCCAGATTTGGGGTGCTGGAGAGCGGGTTTCTGATTTCCCCCCATAGCAGACATTTCCCACAGCCTAGTTCTTCATTCTAAAACTCTTTAAGAGTTGATGAGCAGAAAATTTCCTTCTCGTTTGTTATTATTGAGGGA